TTTAATTGTTTGGTTTGTCTGTTATACTTTCTTGGAGTTGTTTGAAAATTACTTTCATTTTCATCCTAAAAAGTATATAAAGTGAACCTTTTTTTTCAAAATCTCTCAAACAATGAATTTGATGTGTTGACATGTTGTTTTGTCAATGTAAAGGATAGCATGTTCAGCCAGTACTCAAGTGCCATATAGATATGATATATTAAAGACTCTTGAACTGAAAGGTTTACCACCACCCAACAGGCCATGCATGCATTTTTATGAATGAGATGTAAGAACTAGTGGTGGAATCATAGAGGATGAGGTGTGTGTGTGTGTGTGGGGGGGGGGGGGGGGTGATGTCACAATCCCCACCTCGTCCACTCAGAGAAAATGCAAAGCATTCTCTAAATGGTGCTCTTGCCAAGCAATTGCCATCCTGTGTTCACTAAGCAGCGGGACAGCCTCTCAACATGGGACCCAGATGTTAGGGGGAGATATAGAGTCAAAGATTAATTTAGGAAGTATGATAAATTTAGGAAGGGTATTGTTAAATTTAGAAGTCGTGGTGTGGGGCTCACCTTACTTTTTCGCTTGTTTTCTGTTCCGAAAATCACATGCCTTGAACTACCTGACAGAAGGTTCTCAGCACCAAAAGCTAATGTATCTAATTTTTTTGGGATGTCTTGTTTGAACAGCCGTCTTCCGACAGAATTGAAATACTGGGAATATGTCACTATCATTCAATTGAATGATATATAGCCATTCCAAAATATTGATTTTTTTCCTATTTAAGTCACTTTATTGTAGAACAATATGCCTTGACATTCTGCTGCAAAAGTTTTCATACAAATTGGAAATTATTGGTTGTTCCACGATTACAAAACCACCAAGACTCTGAGGCAATAAACCCAGCCCCATTCCGCCATAATCACTATTAGGCTTTACAGTTGAAATGAAGCTTTTAATTTTGGTATGTAGTGTTTAGTTTTCTCAAAAAAGGTTAAACTTTTGTTTTATCTGTCTCCAGATTACTTCACCATTGGAGCTATGGAAGATCCCAGGGTCTATACCAAAACTGAGATAGGTAAAAATGTTAAATTTAAAAAAACTGTTCTTTTATTGTAAACACAACAAAACACCTCTTTTCCAATATTTTTCTTAAGACTGACTTGTAAATAGACAAATTAAATTGTGCAAGAGACACCTGAACATCCTTTTGTTGTCACCCTAGATTTTATCACTTATTTCATTTATTTTTAAGCCTGGCATTTTGATGCTTCTTCTTTAAGGAGCAAGGACTATGTGATTTTGATGATGATCTCAATTTAGATAATGACAGGGTTAGTATAGATTTGAAGGGGTTATGTTAGTGATAGGGTCAGGGGTTAACGTCAATGTTTAAGATTGGAATGAGGATATTGGGTTGTGGTTACTAGTTTCAGGATACAGTTGAGAGGAGGGAGGGTTGACTGTGAGAGAAAGATTAGGGACCATTTCAATGTTTTTTTCTAATATCATGTCAGAATCATGTCAGAATAGGTGCTTGTATGTACAGGCATGCTGTTGCATCTAGATGGCTTATCTTACTGTTAATATGAATGAAAAAGCAGCTCAAAGCAATTTAAAGCTACTTCATCTTAACATATCTTATAGTAAAGCCCATTTGCAAAAGCTATAATAACCCATTTGCAATATAATATTGGCTTAAAGGAGAAGTATAGCCAGAGCTCATTTCACTGTACTTCTCCTGTAGATTACAGGAGTACAATTTGTTATGGACTCCTGTGACCCTTTTTCATTGTCACTCAGTCGGTCCAGGTTGGGGACAGATCCCAACTTTAAAGTCGGGATCCACCCAGATCCCTGGACCAGCACCTGGCTCAGCCTCTAAGCGATCTGCTGAGAGCTTGAGCCAGCCGCTCCTGCAATCTCCACAGCCCAGAGCTCCAGTGAACGTTGGGGGGGTAAGAGCAGAGAGCCGGAGACTGACAGTCCTAGCTCTGTGCTCAGAGCAGAGAGAAATAACTAAGCAATAGCAGTGTTTGATCACTCAGTTCTCAACCTTACAACTGGCAGGGGACAGATGTAGTATCAGCTGTACCCACCTAGGTAAGTATAATTAAAACAAAACATCCTAAACTTCTCTTTAAGGTGAACACAGAATTCTGAATTTTATCATCTACTCCCACTTCGATTTTTACTCCAGTATGTAATTGTTTTTTTTTTGTTTTCATCTAAAACAGTCACATGCAACTTGCATTTGGGCCAAAATATCTTGGCAATGCAATTTTTTCTTGTTACTTCCCATTGTTTTAATCACATTTAGGTAGAGAAAGTATGCAGAACATTGAAAAACCAAAAGGAAGCCTTAGCCAGCACTCCCACCCCAAGCATATATTCTGGTGACTTTCTGATTGTTGGGTGTTTGCTCACCAGTAAAATGAATTTGGTGTCTGGTTCATGCATCAAAAGCAGAGTGAACTTTTATAGCTTTGGTTATCTTTTATATAGATATATATATATATATATATATATATATATATATATATAAAAATAATTTCAAGCCTATTAAATGTAAGGCAACCCATTCTCTACTTAACTACTTTCACTTTGCAGACACTGTATCAGGATCAAGTCTCCTACTGGTCCCAGAGTGCAATGTCAGGAAAACACTGTTTGCAATATCATGGTATGTTGTATTTATTTTTTTGGTGAAGCATGCAAAACTGCATTCATTTTAGGTAATTACTGTGTCAGAGTGTTTATAACCTCCCCTTTATACAATAGAAGAAAAAATTGGTTCCCAGAAGTCTCGCAGATCATGTTGACCTACATTGCTCTGAAGAGTAAGTTCTATAAATGTTTTAACATGATCTGAAAAGACACAACTTAATGTAGCAGAGGGTGCTTGAGATGTTCAGGTACATAGCACCTTTAACAAAAAATAATGTCATGCAAATGTTTGAGTTCTACCTCTCATTTCACACCCAGTTTGTAATGAATGTCTAAAGTGAATAATGACTGCAAAGGTCAAGCTTGTGTGGAACTTGTTGGCGCCAATTGTTTACCTAATAATTTCATTCTGAATGTAGCTGAGTTGAGTTGTTAGGTAGATGACTCAATAACGATATATTAAATGCTTGTGTATATATAGGTAAAGGTAAAGGTACAACTACTGTGGCACTTCAAAAAAATTTACAATTCTAAGCATAAATTAGCCATTTTGAGAAATTCAAAATGCAAGAAAATTAGCACATAAAGAAATTGTAATTAATTTCCGTAACACACTAATAGTATGTGCACATATTTAGCAGTCCATTTATGAGTTATATTGTTAAATTCAATATATACTGTTCTTTATAATATTATTATATGATTTTTATTATTTTTGTATCTGCCATTTTGTTATATCCAATAATACAGTACAAAGTAAATATTACATCCCTGAAAAAGGCAGAAAATACACATAAATAACAATATTTAAAAGGACAAGCACAAACAGTTGTATAATAATACAAATACAATAATAATAATTATTATTAATATTACTATTAATAAAATCTTATCGAATTTTGCATAATGAAGTGAAATTGAGAGCTACATTTCATTATTATGTGCTTATAATTGATATTGGAATACCTAACAAGCTAGCTAACACTATAAGCATTTAGTAAAGTGTAGGTCAAAGGATAAAGCTTTCTGGTACATCAACAAGCACAGGGCAATGGAAGGAGATTGAAATGAACTAACAGCCTTATTAAAAAAGAGTTATAATTCTTAAAGCCCAACTCCAACTTCCACCTCCAGGTACCACAATCAGAGTTGTCCTACAGCAAAATTCTAAACCTACAAGTACAACCTCACCATAAGGGGCTCTGCCTGGATTAAGACATTAGACATGTTATGTTTGCAATTACTGCAGCCATATTATAATGGGGGGGGGTACAAGATCTCGTTTGTGGGGTGAAGGGTACCTGGAAAACTATAGAGGATGTTGTGAGCTCATTACTATTTTCTTTCTTATATCACAGTTCTCGAGCAACACCTAGATAACAGCTGTGAAACTCAGTGCAAAAATTGACTTTACCTTGAGAAGTCAGATTTGCAGAATGTGTAGTATTTCTGCCCAGGCACAGTGACAACATCCCTCCTTTTCCAATTATCTCGAATGTTTTTGTGTTGGCAGACAGCTCACCATGTTATGCTATACAAGTGAGCTAGTAATCAATAAAAAATAATTCCAGCCAATAAGGAAAGGGAGATATTGATGCTCTATAGAGTTTTATAGCTAAAAAGCTGTAATACGAGAAAGGGAATAATAAAGAGCTTACAACAGTGTTTATATACAGATACTATTAGATGGAATAGCAAAAAGAATATTAAGGCTCACTTGCAAAAAGCACAGATAATGTGTAAATGTAGTAACCCATAGCAACTAGAATTCACTTTTCATCTACTTAGAGCTGTCAGTACAATGAAATGTCACTGCTTTGCCTTACTAATAGGCCCATTAACATTCTCCACTTAGAAAATGCTGAAAAAGGAGTTATGTCAAAACAAAAAGATACACCACCCTACAGATATTTCTCTTTAGTACTGTCTTACCTCTAGTGTCATTTGTCATAGCGAGAAGACATTTCAATGCTGGAGTGCTCTTCGCCATAATTACAAATCACCATGGGGAATCCCAGCATAGGAATGTTCCAGATTCACATGTCACCCAAGCACAGGATGGGAGGTTTGACCCTATTATGTGTAAATGCTGCATCAGACGTACATCTGATTTCTTTGAGTGTGGCTACTATGGGCAAAATCTGTTCTTACTGCCAATATCAACCATGCAGAAATCCTTGTTTAATCATTTGAAAATGAACTTTGATTGGCTGCTGTGGATGACAATTCCTTTTTAATGGTCTTTTTTTAAAATAAGCCTTAAGTGTCTTGAGTTTCTTTTAAAGTTTAAACCTATATGTGATACAGTCATTTCCTTATGTAACTGTAATATTTTGTTTCTGTTCAGATTAATAATGGAGGAATAGAAATGCACTGATGAAATAGAGAAGGTGACTGGTGAAAGACTGTATGGCCATGGTCAGCTTTATTGATGGTAAGGAAGAAGCCTTGAGGGACTTTATTGTAACTCAATAGCACAGCTGCATAGAAAACCATCAGTGTGAGTGCATCCCTTAAATAAATTGTCAGATAGAAGGTATTATGTGCTAGATTGATAACTGTAAGTAAATAATGTTACTGGTAATGCTATTACAACACTAGCATTTGCAAATGTCATGACTCTGTAAATGTGCATTAGATGAGGTCATATTGTTAGCTATGAAGTGATGGGAACTTTGCTGCCTTCACAGAATGATAAACAGTCGTATGGATATAAATCACATGTTAATATATTCATTTAAACATTACAATGTTGTTTTCAGACCTATGCTGTATTTGCTGCCTTGCTATTTTTTTATATTGTATGGTGCCATGATGTATATTGAACTTTATTTACAGACAGTTAAAGTGGAAGTAAACTCCCACTGGACACTTGTACCTACAGGCATGCCTATAATAAGACTTACCTGTAGGTACAAGGAATATCTCCTAAACATGCACCATTTAGGAAATATTCAGTGTCCCTGTTGCCGATGATGTCAGCGGCACATGCGCTCTGAGAGTGACGTCATCATGGCTCAGCCAATCAAGCGGCCAGTGTCCGCGAACCCGGAAGGAGGACAGGGTGAAAATGGAAACCCTGTCAGCGGTGGCAGTGTGTCACTGGAGGGCTTCGTTCTAAGGTAACCCATATGGAAGAAAAATATATTTTAAAAATATTCTTCCCAAATATATATATATATACTGTATGTTGAAATGTGTTTTTTTTTTTATATATTACAAAATATATGAAAAATATTTTTCAAAATAATTTTTCAAATATACTGTATGTCTTTAAAAATACATTCAATCTACATTTGTGCAATGCATTTACAAATATATGTAAAACTATATGTTACAAATACTTTTTTATATGTTAACAAAAAAAATCTGAAGAATATATTTAAAAAAAAAGTATTTTTAAAAATATTTTTCATATATTTTGTAATATATAACAACATACAGTGTATGTGTGTATATATATATATATATATATATATATATATATATATATATATATATATAATATATATATTGAATACGGACAAAATTGTAGTATTTCAAATATATGTTAATATATTTGGGAAGAATATTTTTTAAATATATTTTTCTTCTATATGGGCAATCACTGGGTCCCGCCCGGTGATTGGCGAGCATCTCCGACGGGGAGGAGAACTGTATGTAAACAATAAAGTTCTCCTCCATGTCAGCTTGTGCACATTGCTTTGGATGGCTGTGCACAACACAGCCATCCAAAGCAGTGTGATTAAGGTGAAGCACAAGCACACAGTGCTTACAGTGAAACAGCACACAGTTAGCCATTAGTAGTGTCAGTGCTTTTTTTAGCACCTATCACTGTATTGGTGTCACTGGGATGTCAGTGACACCAAGTCAGTTCCCCCAAATGTCAGTATGCCCGCCGCAGTTCTGCAGTCCCGCTATAAGTCGGTAATAACCGCCATTACTAGTAAAAATAAAAAACAAATCCCAGTATATATATATACCATTTGTAAACACTATAATGTTCACGTAAACCAATTAATTTACACATATTGGGATTTCTTTTGCAAAGCCATGTAGCAGAATACATTTTGGCCTAAATTTATGAGGACAATTGATTTTTTTTTTTTTTCTACTGGACATGTTTAATAGCAAAAAGTCAAAAATATATTGTTTTTTTTTTCTCAAAATTGTCGGTCTTTTTTTTTTTATAGCACAAAAAATAAAAAACGCACAAGTGATCAAGTCTGAAGTCTTTCCTAATGTGCTAGTATGTGATGCATACTAGCACATTATGACATTATTTTGCAGGGAGGATTTTTTTGTTTTTGTGTTTTGGCAGTTTACTACTGCTTTAAGGTGCCCAGTTTTGTAATCCAGTACTGTGTAATGACTAGTTGTATTTTAGTATGTAGAAACAGGTGCCCCTATAATATTGTCAGCTAAGTGGCATAGAACCCATTATCAAAGAGATAGAGAGTAGAGGAAAAAGGTGAGGGCTATCACTGCTGTTTACTTTCTGAAAAAATTAGATCATGGTGGCCCTCTGGCTCCAGTAATTTCAAAGACACTGACTTCGAACACATACCCTTGATGCATGGTCTTCACTTTCTGCATATTGGTCCTGTGTCAGTGACCCAGAAAGTACTGGCAACAGCAAAATTTGCATGACAGCCAGGCAAGAAATTTTTTTAAGTAGAGAGTCTGAAATGGCAGCCCATATATTTCTCTTTTGACCCATTTCTTCTAAAGCTGACCTTCGTGTTTTTTTTTTTAGTCCACCTGCTGGGAAGAAGAGGAGCTGTAGGGGAATTTTGGATGGAGGGTGATACAGGTGTTGTGCTGATTGGAAGATGCATTTGGAGGCCTGGACGATAGTCAATATCAAGGTTAATGTACTATATGTTGGGAATCTTTTATTTACATTCTTGAGGGGAAAAAGCCAAAGAAATAAAGTTTGACTTTTATCACTGTACCATATATGATATTTTTGTAAATATTCACGCTAAGGCCTCACGCACACACAAATTTTGCAGACTTTCCTAAATGCCTCTCCTCCAGGCAGCAGCATTTTGGCTGAAAAAATACTTGGCACTTGTAAAAGTGGGGAATGTATTTCATTGCATTTAGGTGCGTTTAGCACTTGAGCGTTAGTTCATTTCAATGACCAGAATTCATTATTATTACAGATGTCTCGCATTTTTTTCTACCGAAATGCTACTGCTTCTGGATACACTAGCAGTGTTTTTTTCTTTCTGCCTCTAAACTCCTCTAAAAGCCTACAGTATGTGTGCATGGATACATAGGCTAACATGCAGGGGCATTTGGAGGCAGGAAAAAAACAACAGAATCCCCTATAAGCAGCTGAAAAACTGTCCAGTGTGCATCAGTCCTATACACGTCTTTTTGGAAAATTCTTTTTATTGTTTTTAACCACTTCAATACTGGGCACTTTCACCCCCTTCCTGCCCAGTCAAATTTTCAGCTTTCAGTGCTGTTGCACGGTCATGCAACACTGAACCCATATGAAATATATACCATTTTATTGAGACAGATGAAGCTTTCTTCTGGTCATATTTAATCACCACTGGGGTTTTTATTTTTTTGCTAAACAAACAAAAAAAGACCAAAAAACTTTTATAAAATTGTTATAACATTTTCCAAATTAGTAATTGTTCTTCACTGATAGGCTGCACTGATGGGCAGTGATAAGACTACACTGATGGGCACCAATGGGCACTAATTAGGCTGCACTGGTGAGGTGGCACTGATGGAGCAGCACTGATGGACACTGATAAGATGCACTGATAAGGAGGCACTGTTGAGGATTCACTGATAAGGTGACACTATTGGGTGCTGGTAGGCAGCACTGATAGGTGGCCCTGATGGGCTCTGATAGGCAGGACTGGTGGGCACTGATATGCTGCACTGATGGGAACTGATAAGCTGCACTGATAGGCACTGACTTGCACTGATGGGGGGCACTGATGCTCAGTGCTCAGATTATCCGTGTAAATGTGTCCTGTCAAGATTTCTGGTTATTGGCTCTCCTTTCCTCACTCAATGACAACGCATGAGGAAAGGAAATGCTGATTACTGAGGCGTTTGTTTACATGTCATCAGCTGTAATTGGACACAGATGTTCACATGGTAAAGGGCTGCTGTGATTGGCCCTATACCTCGCTCAGTGATCAACTGTGTTCAAAGGACACAGAGAGCGTCCAATGTGTGTGCCGGGGGCGGGATTCTGGGAGAGCATCTGTAGAAACCCTCCCAGAACTAGACAAACATGCTGAAGCAGTCTTTCAGCTATGGCGGGTCGGGAAGTGGTTAACAAAGCATATAGCAACACAAAAAAAATACTATAGACTACTTAGTTCACAAACAACGTACAAAGAGACTATGCACATCTTTCATATTTTTTTATTGAGAGATGATCCATATTATTGGAGATCCCTGACAAACATTTGTACCCCTATCATCACTCAAAACGTCTCATACTAACACTGCTGTAATCAGAAATGTATTTTCTCTAAGGCATTGGAAGGCCAGTACCAAGGGCAGCAGGATTAGAGAAGGCAGTTAAACCTGTCAAAATATATTCTTATATTGGTTTCCTCAGCTGTTCACCTCTGGGTATTAGTCCTCATACACACTGGACAATTTGATAACGCTGGTAACGTTAGCTGTGTAAAGTCACTTTAAAAACATGAGTTTTTCAGCTTTTTTTAGCGTTTTTGCATTAGCGTTTAGCGGCATTTTGCCACGTTTAGCAGCATTTTCCTGCGTTTTTACGCGTTTGCGTTTTTTACCAGAAAAAAACATTTTTTGTTGTGAAAAAAAATCCAAAAATGCCGGTTTATTTCGTTTTACTGCATTTTGCAGCGTTTTTCAGTGTTAGAGCATTTTTACAGCTAAAAACTCATCTAGAAGCCCACTAGTCCAGGGTTTTTTTTTCCAGCCAAAAAAACGTTGATTACAGTCTATGTGTGCATGGACACATAGGATAACATGCTGGGGGGGTTTTACTTGCTGTAGAAAAAAAATGTCAAAAGCCAAAACCAGCAGCTGTAAAAACATCACATGTGCATGAGGACTTATGGTTAAAGCCCAACTCTGGGATGGAAAAAAAAACCTTGCAGTGGGCCCTTGCACTGCAAGGAAATAAAGCCTTCCTAACTCTTGCTAACTAGCTTTACAGGCTTTGGCACGCTTCTCTTCTATTGACACTCAGGGCTTTGGGCCATTACTCAGCATAATCACATACACTGCAGGACTATTAGTCCTGCATTACAGTCATGTTCATAAAAATATTATGGGACATCAACACAATTCTAACATTTTTGGCTCTATACACCACCACAATGGATTTGAAATGAAACGAATAAGATGTGCTTTAACTGCAGACTGTCAACTTTAATTTGAGGGTATTTACATCCAAATCAGGTGAACGGTGTAGGAATTACAACAGTTTGCATATGTGCCTCCCACTTGTTAAGGGACCAAAAGTAATGGAACAATTGGCTTCTCAGCTGTTCCATGGCCAGGTGTGTGTTATTCCCTCATTATCCCAATTACAATGAGCAGATAAAAGGTCCAAAGTTCATTTCAAGTGTGCTATTTGCATTTGGAATCTGTTGCTGTCAACTCTCAAGATGAGATCCAAAGAGCTGTCACTATCAGTGAAGCAAGCCATCATTAGGGTGAAAAAACAAAACAAACCCATCAGAGAGATAGCAAAAACATTAGGTGTGGCCAAAACAACTGTTTGGAACATTCTTAAAAAGAAGGAACGCACCGGTGAGCTCAGCAACACCAAAAGACCCGGAAGACCACGGAAAACGACTGTGGTGGATGACCAAAGAATTCTTTCCCTGGTGAGGAAAACACACTTCACAACAGTTGGCCAGATCAAGAACACTCTCCAGGAGGTATGTGTGTCAAAGTCAACAATCAAGAGAAGACTTCACCAGAGTGAATACAGAGGGTTCACCACAAGATGTAAACCATTGGTGAGCCTCAAAAACAGGAAGGCCAGATTAGAGTTTGCCAAAGGACATCTAAAAAAGCCTTCACAGTTCTGGAACAACATCCTATGGACAGATGAGACTAAGATCAACTTGTACCAGAGTGATGGGAAGAGAAGAGTATGGAGAAGGAAAGGAACCGCTCATGATCCTAAGCATACTACCTCATCGGTGAAGCATGGTGGTGGTAGTGTCATGGCGTGGTCATGTATGGCTGCCAATGGAACTGGTTCTCTTGTATTTATTGATGATGTGACTGCTGACAAAAGCAGCAGGATGAATTCTGAAGTGTTTTTCGGGCAATATTATCTGCTCATATTCAGCCAAATGCTTCAGAACTCATTGGACGCCGCTTCACAGTGCAGATGGACAATGACCCAAAGCATACTGCAAAAGCAACCAAAGAGTTTTTTTAAGGGAAAGAAGTGGTATGTTATGCAATGGCCAAGTCAATCACCTGACCTGAATCCGATTGAGCATGCATTTCACTTGCTGAAGACAAAACTGAAGGGAAAATGCCCCAAGAACAAGCAGGAACTGAAGACAGTTGCAGTAGAGGCCTGGCAGAGCATCACCAGCGATGAAACCCAGTGTCTGGTGATGTCTATGCTTTCCAGACTTTAGGCTGTAATTGACTGCAAAGGATTTGCAACCAAGTATTAAAAAGTGAAAGTTTGATTTGTGATTATTATTCTGTCCCATTACTTTTGGTCCCTTAAAAAGTGGGAGGCACATATGCAAACTATTGTAATTCCCACACCATTCACCTGATTTGGATGTAAATACCCTCAAATTAAAGCTGACCTGCAGTTAAAGCACATCTTGTTTGTTTCATTTCAAATCCATTGTGGTGGTGTATAGAGCCACAAATGTTAGAATTGTGTCGATGTCCCAATATTTATGGACCTGACTGTATATGGCAAGAGGTAAGAGTGCAATCACGGGCTAGAGCGCCTTAGCGGAGGCTGTGGAGGACTGCTCACACATATGGAGGGAGTTTGCCAGAGCAAGGAATAAGGTTAGTATTACAGCTTTATTTCTCAACTTCTCAGAATTACTTAACAAGAGTTTAACCCTTGCATTGTAGGGGGGACCACTGCACAAGTATTTTTTTTTTTGTTCCTGGAGTTGAACTTTAAGCTCTGCAAGAGAACCTTAGAGGAAAGAAGAATATTAATAGGAATCAAAAGATTCGTTATAGTTTCCAAGAAGTGCAAACCCATCTTTAGCTTTGAATTGTGGTCTGTAGAGATGAAAAGTAATTCTTTATATAAAGCAGACCCATGCAGATTCTGGTAGCACCTTACAACAGTAGATACCCACATGAGACAAAAGGTGGAACTTTTACAAAACAGTGTAATAATTCTGATATGCCTAGGTAGCATGATGTCTAAATACAGTCCTGGATTTATTATATAATATATGCAATGTGCTATATAATACCTATAATACTCTTGATTAATCATATCATGTGCCATTTTACAAAACCAATAAAGGATGAGAAAAAAATAAATTGCTCATAATCTTAAAACATTATTCTCTTTATTGTTTTGAATTTATTGCTATTTTCACAGCTGCTGTTATGAATTTAGTTTGAAGCTTATAGGATATATTATTGTTGAATATTTATACATACTTCAGTAGATAGAATAAGATGCCATTCAAATGCCACACACATTTTTTTTGCCACATCCAATGTTTTCATAAACATTTTACACTTGAAAAGACGGTTCTCTCAAAAAAAATCGATACACATGAATGATATCAATGTACCATATAGATTGTGGAACATTTTCCCTTGATTGAAAGGGACACTAGCACTAGAAGTAGGAAAAAAAAATTTTTAAACCTGATTCTTAGAT